TGTCCTGTTTTATTGTGGTTTTATGGGAGTGGTTTATGACACTTCTACTGCTCTCTAAGAACCTAAATCGGCAGATTAATTTATAATAAAAATAATTTGACAGTGATCATTAATGTTTTTAACTAATTGGAAAAATAAATGAGGGAATGAGCGGTTAACCGTTTTACTGTGAAAGAGTCTAGCGGAAGTTAGTGTTGGTTGGCGGAAGTGGATGGTGGAGGGAGGACCGGAGACTGCGGGATAAACAAACACACGCAGCGGCTCTTCACTCACCTGCTGCCGCCGTCGCAGCTCCACGTTTGGCCCGGGGTTAGAACACCCAGGAACAGGGAGAGTAACCCGGGATACCCTCCTCCTCATCCCGCCTTTTCGTCCCCCCTGGAGGCGGCGGTTTATGTGACTCGCTTCCCGGCGGAGAACCGAACGAGACATGACTGAGCTGAGGAAGCGAGGCGGCGGCGGAGGTGACACCGACAGCACCGACAACATCAGCGACAAGGTAACGAAGTGAAGCCCGGGAACCGAGGCCGGTCCCCCCGCTTAGGCCCCGGCCTGTGGAACGAGTCAGCCCGGTTTGTGGCTGCGGTCAGACCGGCGGAGCTAGCTGCGGTTACCGGTTATTAAGCAGCGGGAGCTACATGGAGCTAATGAGCTAGCCTCCGGTAATCCCGCAACAAGCTCACGCAACAACACGGTGACGAAATAACGACTTTTATCTGGAGTGACGTTCATCACGGCTGGATCTGTCACCACATGTTTTAATCCTGTCATCAATGACACATAGTCAACAGCGACAGTAAACCAGTAATAATGTTTTCTTGATAATAGCACCTGTGTTGATTTAGCACATTTTAAAACTAAACGTCAAAGACGAGAATCCAATCAACGCAATGTAATTTAAAATCAAAGGCAACACGACCTCAGCTCAACGCATGATAAAAGTTTCCACGGATGTTGAATGACAATAAAAACACAGCTGAGGTCCAGATTGTTGAGAAAACTACTGTTGGGTTCAGTTAAATCTCAAATCTCTCATCTTATCTTATTATTTCATGTTGAATCTGTGTGTGACTGCTGCACTGACAGGGAAATACTGGACCTCACACTAAGCTGTGCAGTGCAAGTTACGTAAAATTACTAAATATATTTGAAGTGTGAACTCGATCCTGCTAGTTTTTCAATATAATTAAGTTTTCAGTGAGATTTCTTGGGTAGAAAATATGAAGTGTGACAAAAACTCTCCTTTAAAATAATGATTTTAGTGCTGAAGCTATTAACGATCAATAGCATTGATGGATCTTGACCTGTCAGTCTTGACTTCTTAAACAGTTGTTGACCAAACAATCTCCACTCAGTCAGGGGCGTCTGAAGGGACTTCCCCTGGCTGGGCCCTACATAAACGCAAACCAGAAAAAGAAACAGCAAGAAGTTTCCTGGTTAGATTCCTGACGTGAACATGTTCTCCCAGTGTCTGCAGGAGCTTTTCTCCGGCTTCCTCCCACAGTCCAAAGACCGGGGGTTGGTTAATTCTAAATGGTCCATATGTGTTCTCTTCAAAACTTCGTGGCATGAGTCCTCTCTGTGGGTTTCAGTTGCGTTGCAGCCTCCTGTACATTAGATGATCATATAGTTAAAGAGGGTTCTCACAAGATTAACTACAGAATGGATTTCACACTTCATGCTTTGTCTTGTGCAAATCCCTCAATGTGGCCTTCATGCAGGTTCTGACTGTCACTCTCGGGAGCCTCTGGTGCTAAAATCGGATTCACCAGATCAATCACATGTGCTGTACATCTATATGAATTGGTCCCTGGGGGTTGCTGTTGCCTGGCTGTGTGGCTGCAGTCATTCAGGCACTGAGCTCCACATTTGGCTCTTTCACAGTTGACTTTGGGGGAAAAAGAAGCCCCCCCCTCTGAGCACCAGAGAAAAGTGAGGGGCATGACTGGACAGAGGTCAAGCAGGGATACAGAGGAGACTGTTGGTTAACCCCTGTTTACATTTATAGAAGAGTATAACGCTCTTTTTTTAAAGGTGAATTAAACTTTCCATAGAAAGTTCACATAAATATCAGGAAATGTGAAATATTCAGGATTTTATCATTTTCATTTCTGGTTTTCTCAGTTTTAATTTAGTTGTCTTTAATTTGTTATCTGATGCTGAGTGTGAATCGATGGGACCTTGAAACTGTGTCATCACACGACCGCTATTGCGCAGACTCTGGCTCCAAATGACGTCTTCGGTGCAAAATGGCAGCGTTCATCTCTGTGGCATTTTGGCTTCATTTCTGGATAGTTAGAAAAAGTGGAGATGCTAGATCATCCATCTAGTTTGTGATGTGTCCCCTGAATTGCGATGCTGCTATTGTTTACTTCCATTAATTAGACAGCCGTATGCAGCGTGTGTGCTCGACTTACATGTTGAGCTTGCGTCCTTCACACTGCTGCTCTCCATTCTCTGGTACTGTTGTCGGGGCAATTAGCGGCTGTTCAAGACCCCAACATGACAGTTGACCTTGGTGGGCTGTCTGCTGGTTGGCTGGGCGTAAGAGAAGCCTCCAGCGGCAGCAGCAGTGATGGTGGCAGCAGGCACTTAAACGCTCTGATGGTCACAGCTTTATTCTAAACAGACCTAGTTAGAAATGTCTTGGGACAGCAGAGGACAATTATTCATGTTGTGGCTTTGTGTAAAGATACCCTCATGTTGTTTTTTCAACCTCAAGCTCAGTAAAGTTAAAAAATGTCGTACATTTTCATTTACAGTGTACGTGTGAAGCGGTTGCACAACACTGTTGATCATATGCATGCTAACTGTAAGTTAGTTTGAGCATGCTGTGCTAAGCCGTTGGCATGCTTACATGCTAACATTAGCATTCAGGTCAAACCGTAGCAGAGCCACTATACAGCTCAGGCTCGCTAAGTTGAAAGACGAAATGATGAACGTGAAAGTCCTGAATGACGACATTGTTTTTCATTATTTATGCCTCCAGCTGTATTGATTTCTGGTTTGAGCGCCACCTCTGAGGCGTCACACTGCTGCGTCTCCTGGAAAAGGCCATTTTTGCTTCGTGCTGCACTTCAGAGAGGTGAAAGTTGCAGCAGTGCTACTTCAGGTCAATGTTCACTGCTGATTAGCCTAATTCCTTTCTTGCAGCAAGAGTGACTGACGTCTGTTTAGAGGCTCTGCTGTATCCTCAAAGTTAATCGTTTCCTAGAGTTATCACCCCCCCCCCTACAGGGGTTGTGTTGCATGTGGTAACCATGTCACACACACTCCCAACTTCTCCAACACCTTCTTCACTTCCTGTTCGAACCCTGCGTTTGGGACCCCCCCCCCCCCCCCAAAAAAAAACAAAAACAAGTGTGAATAAATTCGGTGTGACCATCAATTCAAGCAAATGTATTTCATGCATTCACAAACTTTGTGCTGCGCAAACACTTGTCCTGATGCTCTGCTCAGGACAGCTTTGTTTTCTACCTTCCTCAAAATGACAAATGTTCTAAATACAGAGAAGATGTTTCGAAGTTTCAGTCACAGTTTTTGTCAGTGTACAAATACTAAATACCAGTTTGAGTCTTCATGTGAGACTCAATGAGCTTAATTCATTGGACCTTTTTAAGTAAAGAACGGTTTCACCTCCACTGTCACTGGATGGACATTTGTTACCATAAAAGGTTTCATTAATCCTGTCAGTGCTGCAGACTGTGCTGTTAGCTGTGCCCATTCATATTGTCAGTCATGCTTTGGACATTCTGGGACAACCTCCACAATCAAACTCACAAACACACTTGGACACATCCGAGCAGGAAACAGCTTTTTATCTGCAGGGCACAGTGGCATAACCAGTTAGTCCAAGTACTCTCAAAGAGTGAATATTATTAGTTCTGCTGTCATGTCCCAGACTGTCCCAAAGTCATGGGGTCAGTGAATCGATCTCAGATTTCTTAAAAGTCTGAAATCCATCTCACGGGTGTAAAAGTAAAGAAGCAGCGATTCCCCAGTGGTTTGGTGATCTGGTTTCAAATTCTCTATTTGCACAATGGCACACTTGTTCCTGAATTCTTGCAGAAAGACATTCTCAGAAAACATTTTCACCAAAGTAAAAATGTCAGTTGAAGTCAGTCTTAGTTAAGAACTCAAAGTACGATCGTGCTGACCAAAGTTTTTCTTAAATGATCAAATCATTATTTCAGAATTCCTCTCCTCTGACGGTCTGAAATGCCGACGCATTATAATGGTGTCGTAGTTTTTATTTGTAGTTGGTCAAATTTAATCGTTAAAAATAAAACATTGATTCTTTTGTGAGCATAAAACTCTCGTGTGGTTGTAATTGTTTCCCCTCATATCTCCCAAAGGGCTGCGTCGTCGTTAAGTATTTTGTCACAACAAACTTACCCACTTGTAATAATGACACAATCAAAATGACGATGCTGGTATCTGGAGGCAAAACGTCTGGAGGCAGATGGTAACACCGGGATTGTCACGACTTTATTAGCCAATGGGAAACTTGCCCCGTGGCGACTCATCACTCTCCTCTCCTCTCTTCTGTGACCCCAACTCTCTCCTCCTCTCCTCCTCTCCTCCTCTCCTCCTCTCCTGCTCTCCTCCTCTTCCCTCTGGCTCTGCAGAGAAGGCATTAATAGCCAAGAGAGGAGGACAAAGACGACAGTGGAGGTGAGATGAGCTGCAAGGACAGTCGCCCTGCTGCTGCTGCTGCCTCTCAGTCTCTGCAGCTCACAGATTGTAGGAAAACATGGGCGTCTGGTAGAAAGTGAATTCTTGGATGCACCACCTGCTGTGGCTGCTTTTGTGTTTCACTTAAATCTGTGTTCCCAGTGTTCTCTGTCTGTATCAGCCGGTGTTGATTAGGTGCTCAGATTTGCAGCTTTGTTTGCCTGTGATTAGACAGCAGTTACCAAACAAACAAAAGATTAACAGTGTTTGACAGTTTGATTAAAAGATTGAGAGCCTTCCCCCAGATTAAGCTTTAATAATGCAGCTCTGCATGTAACAGGTTTGTGTGGTTGAAGTAATGAACTGACCGGAGGCTCGTTTCACGTCAGGGAATCTTTTATCCAGCTGCCGACCAATGGCAGCAATGACACACGGGTGAGAAAATCCCATCACTTGTCATATCCAGGCACAGTAGCATCATCGACATCATAGATTTCCATCCATCCATCATCTATACTGGTAACAATGGTCCAATATGGTGTCGTCAGAATTCTTACTTTATTCAGCCAACACTTCAAAACCCCCAAATCTTCGAATATGGCAAAGAACAAAAAAAAAGTTAATCTGTTATCATACTAGTTCCAGAATAAGTTAATTATAGCAATAAATCGGTCTCTATTTATGCTTATTAGCTGGTTAGATGGTCACTCTGTTTAAACAGCTATGGCTAAACTTGTTTCTAGTGGTGACCATGATTGTACATGAAACTTGCAGTCTATCTTTCTTTGACTTCAGTGTCGGGGTTAACCGCTGACGCTGTCGTGTGAGTTATTATTTCCCTTTTTCAGTCAGGATGCTGTGTGTAAGCAGCACTGTCTGAAAGGACACCGCAGCTTTCCATGGTTTCAGTCTGCGGCCTGAAAACGTTTCCTCATTAAAACCTTAGTAGAAATCTACACTTCCTCGTCCCTCCTGAGCGCTAATGCCAACTGAAGTGACCCCAGGCTAATCACAAAATCTGGACAAGATCAGAGACGTTCTTTCCAAATGAAAATCTGAGTTAACCCCGACGCCCTCCGCTCACCGTATTTAGCAACGTTTGAGTAAAAGCAACCATGAAAGGGAAAAAATGTCCAGGAGCATCAGCGAGGATGTCAAGTGCGGAGAGGAACATAATCTCCTAGTGTGTGTGTGTGTGTGTGTGTGTGTGTGTCTGTGTGTGTGTGGTTTAAAAAGAGGCTCCCTGAGGAAGAGCAAGTGTCTCCTCTCACCACTCTGTTACCTCACAGACCATCACTGGTGTTAATTTAAGAACTGGGTTTCATTATTATAGATGTTAGAGCGTCCACACTAACTCTGCTCAAATTGCCAACATAAAAACTTTTTTTACAGAATAAATAATGGTGAAAATATTTGCATTTATATTTTACGCAAAGAAATGTGTTTACTTTCTAAATTTCACTTCCGTATATTTGCTTGTGTTTTCTTTTTATTTATGGTTATGTACTGTAAATGTTTTGGTTAAATTGTGAAATATTAAGTTTCATATAATACATTTCCTTGTTGTAAGGGTTTGATAATTACATTTTAGGAATTATTGCCAATTCAAAAAAAGAAAAAAAAAAATATATATATATATATATATATATACTGTACACACACACACACACACACACACACACACACACACACACACTCTGTCTGCGGACTGGGTTTAAATCCAGATTAAAGTTTCATTAACACCAGTAAAGACGTTTGCCTCCCGGGCAGCAGCCTGTTAACCCGGCGACACTCGGTGTAGACTTTCAGCTCCGTCATCCTCCAGTTTCTTCACCGGCCTCCAACTGAACATTTTCTTCTTGTGTACATTTTCATGTTGGAATTATTATGTTCAGATTAGTTTAAGAGATAGAAATATAATTCACTTCAGCTCATTTGAAGATAAAGGGTTTGTAATAGTGTATTCTGTATATTAATGAAGTATTTCACATACAACAAGGACGACAACAACAAACACACCCACACGCCTCCCATGTTTGCTCAGACCTACTTGAATCACAGCCAGGTTTAGAAGACACATGAACCACTTCTGCAGTTTCCTAAAGACTCAACTCTTGTATTGTTGGTTTTATCCATTCAGCTTCATCCTTCCAGTTTTTCAAAACACAATCTTGTTTAATCTTGTTTAACCTTTAATCGATCATCTGCGATCATCCAAGAAGTAATTAGTACATTTGATGAAAACCAGTCCGTGCTTTATCGAGTCATTTTGTACACACACACACACACACTGCTGCTAAAAAATACCTAATTAAAGCACCATCTGCTGAGTCGTGTGTTTCTCTCCTCAGCCCAGACTGGACTTTTATTTGACGACCTCAACATTTACTCTTCGTTTGCAGCTCTCAGTGTCTGACCTCCGTCTTTTTACAGGATGACGATGCTTTATTGTTTTCCTTCTCTGTTGTCACCTTATGTGCACTACCCTGTCTGTGCTTTCTACACTAACCTGCGTGTCAGGTGAACACTCTTTGAATATCTGTGTGTGTGTGTGTGTTCTGACAGGAGGCCGATGGTGATGACAGGCTGGGTCTGCAAGGTGACGCAGAGGGAGAGTGTGACATTGACTCCAAAGCAGACACTCCAGATGTTCCTCTCTCCACAGCAGACACAGACAACACTCCACAATGCCTGAACAAAGCTCTGGAGGGCCTTCCGCCCAGGTGCGCACACACACACACACACACACACACACACACACACACACACACACAGCTTAACAAGCTTTCTTCAAGATGGTGGAAAGCGTGAGCAGACACAGTTAAGTGTAAACGATCATGTTCAGGAAATATAAACCATTTTATTTTTTAATAAATCACTAACTTGTTCGTTTCACACGACTCGATTTTCTTCTCTGCTGTGATTTCAGCCATAATTCTGTTGTAACAAACAGATTCTCCTCCGTCTTTCCTAGAAAGAGCCTGACAGAGTGATTGATCACCTCCCCTGCACCATGTAGGTTAATTGGACCAGAAATAGATTGAAGTCCACAGAGGTGCATGAACACGCCCTTATTAATGTAGTGGAGGAAATACAGTAACTCTCTGTTAATACACTGCATCTCATCAACCTGGAGATTTACTGCAGGTCTGTGACTGTGACACATCCTCTCTGGGGTTTCATATATATATATATATACATACTGTATATGTTGCTAACCACAAGTAAAGTTTGATAAATTCATTGAACACATGAATTAAAACACATCAACAATTAAAAGTCCTGTTTACACGTGTGCAAATACACTTAATGCAAAGATTTCAAGACTGTGGATCTACCTGCTCCAGTCAGCAGCACCTTGTGTGACGGATGTTAGATACACGGACGAGTGGTGGAGGGTGTGACCAATGAGCGACGGCCCTGTTACAGGGCTTAAAGGCTCACGAGGAGGGAAGCACTAATCCCTGCTGGCTTGAACGGCATTGGAGCCGGTGTGCTGCAGAGAGAGCTGTGGATGAACAGACTGCAGAAAGAGGGAGGGAGGGAGGGCGGGGGAAGAGAAACAGATGGAGAAGCTGTAGTAGAAATAAAGAGGAGGAGGTGGAGAGAGGAGGAAGGATGGTGCTTTTAGTGCGAGTGAGTCAATGACTGTGGGAGGCAGACGGGGAGAGAGAGTGAGCGCGTGGAAGCAGCAGCTCTTTTGATGACGCAGCTGTTTTCCTCCTCCATTCACACGAGCTCCTGTGCAGCTCTGAGCTCGTCCATCTCTTTTGTTTTGCTCGCAGGCGGTCGGCATGCAGCTGTTCGCCTCGCAGCAACACGGACTGGCTGACGTGTTGGGACAAACACATTCCGCACTTTTAGGCACGCTAGTGTCACGGCACAGGTCGTACCGGTTTAACGGTTTGTTGTAAGATGCAGGTGGTGATAATAAGCCTTGAAAAGTGGCCACAGCATTAACACGATACCTTGATTTCATCCTGTAAGTCACGTTTAGACCAAGAACTACCTGGAACTTTAAAAAATATATAATTGTCGAGTCTTGACGATCCACTCAAAGCCCTTGAAGGTATTAATACAGTTTTCGCCATTCCCCCATTCATACTTTCTCCATCATACATCATTCATAAACTGCTGGCACAGCCGTCAGGGGCAATTTGGAGTTCAGTATCTTGCTCAAGGACACCTCAGCACGTGGACAACCCGCTCCACCTCCTGAGCTACAGCCGTGTTCAAGACCTATTCTGAAGCCAGCCCCCGGGGGAAAGTGGGTGGATGTATTTAATGACTTTGGTGACCCAAAAGACGTCACAGTTAAAAAAACAAAACAGAAACCTTGTGCTGTCCTCTCATCAGACAGCCACTGACGAATGCTTTAAAGCTTCTCCTCTTTATTATGATTATTAAGAAAACACGTCAGCTCTGTAAATTCAAAGCTTTACAACTGCAGCTTTAGACGGTAAATTATATACTGTATACTTTCCTCTTACCTTTCTTATGGAGTGTAAATATTTGAAAGTAATTTTCAGAAAGGAAATAAATCACTAATTCAAAGTTTCCTTTCTCCACAGATGGAAGAACTACTGGATACGAGGGGTTCTGTCGTTAGCCATGATTTCAGGCTTTTTCCTCATCATCTACATGGGACCTGTCACTCTTTTATTAGTGGTAAGGGACAGCACTTGATGCCATGGCTGTTGTTTGAGTCCTCAAGGCATCTGTTCATGTCCATGTGTCACGTTTCCGTTCTGCTCCTGTCCTCTGATACAGGTCATGACCGTCCAGATCAAGTGTTTTCAAGAAATCATCGACATCGGGTACAGAGTTTACCGTTCCTACGAGCTGCCCTGGTTCAGGACTCTGTGCTGGTGAGTAGAGGATGTTACAACAGCAGCAGATAAACTCTAGAAACGTGTTTGACAGAGAATCGTGCAGTTATCTGACCTTTCTCTTGTGTTAACGGACACACAGGAAGTGGTTTGAGAATCAGTCAAGCATCTGCAGTGTGGTCGGAGATAAATCAGAGGGTGGAATGTTTGTATTTCATAATTAAAACATGTTGATCTACAGTAAAATATCTAACGTAAATATTTCAAGAATTGTGTGGTATAGTATATTATAGTGTATTGGTTTGTAAGCAGGTTGTAGAAGTCAGTTAACTCAGCTCTTCAGTGAAACATTGACTCGGTTCGTCTGCAGTCACGTTCTCTGAATAAGCAACATCGTCCTCTGTTTGCTCCCATTGAGTGTTACCTTTGCATACACAGACACACGCCCACAGTATGTGGCAGCAGCGCTCAGCCAGGAGCAAAGATCACTGCCATGTTGGAAACAAAAGAAGGCTAATTGAAACTTGCCCTTTCACCTCGGGCCACCCATCACACACACACACACACACACACACACACACACACACACACACACACACACACAAACAACAGGTCAATGTACAGTCTGTCTAACACTGTCAGACCTTTAAACCCAGTGACCCACACAAGAGGTTTTTTCATACGTTAGCTCATTTCTGCATAAACTCATGAACTGCTCTTTGTAGAATAAAACCAAGAAGCACTCAAACATACTTGAGGCTAACTCAAATACCATGTCAAGTAAAACTAGTCCCGCTTGTTTCTGTGCCTCAGGTACTTCCTGATCTGCGTCAACTACTTCTTCTACGGTGAAACCGTGGCAGACTACTTCGGGGCTCTGGTGCAGAGGGAGGAACCTCTGCAGTTCCTGGCTCGCTATCACCGCTTCATCTCCTTTGCTCTGTATCTTGCAGGTGACTCCCACCCTCAAGACTCCTGTATCTCAGAGAAGAAAACAAAAACATGCTCTTTGGCCCGTACGCGCCCACTCCCATTTTCTTTATGAAATAGATTTCAAACAATTCCCATCGCTGAGGAGAGAATAAAAAAGAGAAACAAAAACCGCAGGAAGACGTTCAGTATAAACCGGTTTGTGAGTTTTTATAGTCAATTAAATTGTGAAATATTTAATCTTTTCATGCTTTTTCCTGCTGCAGGAGCTTTAATTGCTCCGCTCAGCTGCAGCAGGATGTGTCATGAAACACTGAGCTGAGCTTTTTATCATCACGTCGCAGTTCACCAGTGATTTGTATCAAGACCTGTAAAAAGAAGTCAGCTTATTTCTAGAATTTTACCGAATGGATCGTACTATTTGTTTGTTTCCTGCTTCTCTGGATCACATGACACTGATTTACAAACACATGCTGCTTCTTCTGGCTCTACATTTATAAAACAGAGAGAAAACCACACATGCACACCAAAGAGGAAACAAAAGTTATCACTTACAGAACTATTACATGTGTGGATTCAATAAAGGGTTTTTTTTTCTCTCTTCTCTCGTGCCCTGTCCACACGAATGCAGTTATTTTGCGATACAAACTTTTATGCTCTGAGTAACAGCCTCTCGTCTACACGCAAACAGTTTCAAGACAATAAAACTGAGATATTTATGAAGGTCTTCCATAGAGCAGATGGCAGAACTGTTAATACTGCCTTTACTTCACTGTGAGCAAGATTACACTGTTAGTTTGCAGACTGAGCTGACTTTTCAAATTAGCCCTGACTTTCAGCTGCGTCGCTACTTAAGTTTTAACATCTACAAGAACAAAGCAAAATCTGAAAACAAGTCTTCACAAATAGTTTTTCTTACTTTTGAGATAAAACTAAAAACCATGTTCGCCACTTGTATTTATTAGAACAAAACTGAAGTCACAAATCGAACCTCTGAGATATCTGGATGTGATGATATTTCAATGAATATATCCTTTTGAGGCAAGAAGGTTTTGACAAGTTAAAAGATTTTTAAACGAAAAATGAAAAAACAACATCCATCTGAAATGTAGATCGAGCATTTCGGGTAAATTTAAACCACGGTGGGATCTGTTGTCGCAGCAGCTCTTAGATTTTTCTGATGCTGCTGCTGCGACAACAAAGATTCCCTGTGGGACGAATACAGGATCTGTCTGCTGATCGCTCAGTGGTTAGTTTCAGAGTCCGACACGGGGTGAACACGTCGGCCCGAGTCTCGCTGACATAGCTGTCTCTCAGTTGACCCAGCGTCGGCGTCAGCTGTAGTTTAAAACCCCAAGGACACCCTGAGGGTCGTCCCAGGTTCATGTGGACAAACCTGACCTGAGGAGTCCGAATTCAAATCAGTGCAAAATCCAAACAGTGATAAACGTCCTCTCAGTGTTTCATGAAAACAATAATCTAAGTTGTGTAGTCACTGTCATGCTACACACAGACACACACACCTCCCTGTACTTTATATATGATGTGTTGTTGTTGTTGTGATCCACAGATTTTTAAAACTCTGTAATGTTGGAGTTTAAACTGACAGCATGTTGTCTACTCTTTCACAGGTTTCTGCATGTTTGTGCTGAGTTTAGTGAAGAAACATTACCGCCTGCAGTTTTATATGGTGTGTATCAGCCAAGTAACCCTCTCTTCCTCCTCCTCCTCCTCCTCCTCCTCCTCTACTACACCACTCACCTTCCTGTCCACCTCCCTTCACCGCTTCCTGCTCCCCGCTTCGTCCCTCTGACAAGTGTCTGGAGTCTCATCTTGTGCTTTGCTGTTGCCATTGGAGAAGCCTCTTTGGACATTACACAGCGTTTGCTCTCGAATGCTGTAACCCCTTCTGTTAATTGTGCATCAGACACATCAGCTGCTTTCAGACGCGCACTGAACTGTGGATAATCCCCCGACGTTCTCTGGAGGGGTTCTGTATGTGAAGAAGTTCAGAGAATGTCTGCAGCAACTCACTCACATGAAGCCCCTCTGGAAAATTTCAGTAAAACAGCCAATGTTAACAGTGCACGTGTGAAAGCAGCTCCAGATTATCTGTGCATGTCACCGTGCGGAGTTTAAACCTGGATTAACTCAGGACTTCTGCAGTGGCTTCAGCTTCTCATGCATCCGTTGAGCTCCCCCTGACATCTGAAGGCTGCTGTGATGCAACGCAGTGCATTGGCCTGGACTGACTTTATTGCCCATTTAGCTTTTATTGAGTTTTCATCTTGCAGGCAAATCTATGCAAATGCTTTCATTGCAGACATCCACAGAGTGTTTCCTTAACCGCCCATTCAAAACACGATCATCTCCAACCGCAACAAAGTGAACGTTTCCTCAGCTCATGTGTGTGTTTCATTCTTTTATGTGAGGAAGATTTCAAAAAATGCTGCTGTCTTGTTATTTGCATGCATCTCCACAAAATCCTTGTTTGTGACATCTGCTGCCTGCTCTTTTCTCACCTTAATGTATATTTAAGTTTTGATGCATATGACATTTGCTCACTCTGCGTGTGTGTGTGTGTGTGTGGCTTCGTCAGTGTCCTTCACCTCATCCGCCTGTTTGTTTGTACTATTCCACTATTTCTGACACGAGCCAACTTCTGAGCAGGCGCGGCTACATTCCAGTGCAGTGACACTGTCGTGTTTGTGTTTGCCATTCCAGTTTGCTTGGACCCATGTGACCCTGTTGATTGTGGTAACTCAGTCCCACCTTGTCATTCAGAACCTGTTTGAAGGAATGATCTGGTAAGCAGGACACAGACAGACCGGAGGAACCGTGTTGTTTCTGACTATCGCCACATGTGTGTCGTTGCACCCGTGTTCACTGTTGTGTAGCTCGTCATGCTGTTAAAGTTTGAACACTGAACCGGCAACAGATAATTTAATACAGATCATTCGTATTCTGTTTTAATTAACTTCTCTGAAGATAGCAAATCATTGAATTTCACAATAAAAACATGTTGTCACGGTAGAAAACCACGAGAATACTTTCCCTGCCTGCCATTTACCAGTTTATAGAGTAGATCATATATTTCCCAGCCGCAGAGAAGTGAGTTTCTCTTGTGGTTGGTTTCATTTCTCCCTCCACCTCTAAATGCTTTTGTTAAATCCTATTTTCTAGGTTCATCGTTCCGATCTCCATCGTGATCTGTAACGACATCATGGCCTATCTGTTTGGATTCTTCTTTGGGAGGACTCCTCTCATCAAGGTAAATCAAACGCCATCTCAGTCTTGATAATGAATTTTTTAATTACAGTTAGTGGGTTTACTTTAAACTGTACAGTGTCTAATAGAGTGCAACGGTGGGAAGACACGAGTATATTCAGTAACTCTTGAGGACAGCTGGGAGAGACGGCCTCTATTTAAATCACATGGAGGCGAGTAAAAACCACGTCATGCTGATATGAAAGAGGGTTTCTGTCTCTCACCCCTGCAGCTCTCACCCAAGAAGACCTGGGAGGGCTTCATCGGCGGTTTCTTCTCCACTGTGGTTTTTGGCTTCATCGTGAGTACATTACATTCACTGCTGCTGCTGCCTCACATGCTCGTGTGTTTTAGGGCTGAAGTCGACCAAAGAAAATTCTGCTGGACTGAAATTCGTGCTGGATTAGTGACAGGGAACAAAATATCTGCACTTTATCTCCAGATTCATTTAGTTCTCTAAATCTGGGAACCTCACGGGGCGATGTGTTCACTTCCTGGCGAGCAGCGCTAGTGGTACACAGTTTGATCGTTTTCTAGAATGGGCCAGAAAGTTCGAGCACGAGTAAACATCTGTTCACACGTGTAGTTAAACTTGTACAAGTACGTGACGGTTAAATGACTCAAATACCAAACCTGACACATCAAGTCATGTTTTCACATAGACGTTGTGTTTATCGCACGGACATTACAACTTTATAAAAACGTTGATACACTCAAGTTAGCAACTCTCTTTAAATTCACATCATCATCAGTATACGTTTGTATTTATATTAGATTCATGTGTCAACAACTAAAAAGGAAACTAACAGTAAAAATAACGATATATACTATTTGTTTCATATTTAATCTCCGATTTGTTCAAACACAAATTTATCGGAGCGTCCAAACGAAGTTCTCCTCCTGTCGATGCCGTGCTGTGTTTCTTGTTGAGCAGAGTTTATGCTCGACTTTGTGATCACATCAAATCGCAGCACACGGACGCCGTCTTTGACACGGTGGCGGTTGGTTTGGAGCCGACTCTGAATGAACCCTCAGTAAAAATATCAGTTTCCTGTTCCTCCCACCGCCGGAGGTAATGGATTAATCTTGGAAGATAATCACTGAGGCTGTTTCCTCTCTCTCTCTCTCTCTCTCTGTCTCTAAAGTAAAAGTACACATAGATAGACTACTACTTTCTGCTCAAGTAAAGTACATACAGTATAAGTACTAAGTAAATGTACTTTGTTACATCCCGGACTTTGGGTGGAGAGCGAGTTGAAGGGTAAAACAGTATTTCCGTCTACGGTTAACCCGTCAATAGTGAACACAAACAATTCAACTGAAAATAACGAGAGCTGGTTATCACATCCTGCTGCTGCAGATAAAAACTGCTGTTACCAAAGCTGCTGGCAATTTCCCATCATGCCATCATGACTGCCAGACACTGTTTTCACAACTTACAAGTCACATGATCTCCAGCTCCCGTCTCACGTTGTGTTTGGAAGTTGGATTTCTTTGATTTTCTCTGCATCATTGATGTTTTTGTGTCATTCCGATGGTACAAAGTGCGATGATCCCGATGACACATCGATGTCCGCGGACGCTGATCTTTGCTTGTTGTTGTTTTTTTGGTTCTGCCCTCAGCTGGCCTACCTCCTGTCTCAGTTCCAGTACTTTGTTTGTCCTGTGGGATTCAACAGTGAGACCAACCGCTTCACAGTCGAGTGTGAGCCCTCTGATATCTTCGTGATGCAGGAGTACACACTTCCTGCTGTCATACAAAACACCCTGACATGGGTAAGTCTCTTTCCCTTTCCATCAACTGAGACCAAATAATATATAATTATTCACTGTGGTAAAGATATTAACTATATTTATTTACTGCCATATTATTATCATCCCCAGACTCTGAAAAATATTTTACCAGCTGAGATAATCATTTGAATCACTTCTTAAAACTTATACTTATAATAACAATAACTTTCATTTCTGTGTGAACTTGAAATTATTTTATTAACTTGATTTATTTAGATGTTGTTGTTGTTGTTTTATCCTCATATGAAGCACTTTGTAACTTTGTCAAGAAAAGGGCGACACAAAGAGGCTTATTATCGTTTTTATTATTATTCGTTAGTGAATTAAAACATTTTTCTTTCTGATATTTCCTGATGATGTAAATTCTCAAATTCACCACACGTGTAAATATTTGATCCGCTCTCCGCCGATACACAATTTAGCTTTTTTCTCCTTTGTAAACATTCAACCTTAGAGAAGATTAAATAGAAATTTTGCTGTTAATCTAATGAGGTTTCTCTCTCTCTCTCTCTCTCTCTTCTAGAAAACCGTGAACCTGTACCCTTTCCAGATCCACAGCATCTTCCTCTCGTCCTTCGCGTCGCTCATCGGGCCGTTTGGCGGCTTCTTTGCCAGCGGCTTCAAGCGAGCCTTCAAAATCAAAGTAAAAATCTCAGTCCTGTCTCTTTGTCTTGTCTCTGCCCTTCACCAACAATCCAACATCATCTGCGATTTGTTTTCCTTCGTGTGACATCTTGTTCTAGTCGTGTTTTCCTTTTAACTCTCGTTTTTCCCACTGGAGAGAATTAGAACCAGACGTGAGAATAAAAATGAGACATTTTGAGAATAAAGTTGGAATGTGAATTTCAAACCACATCAGAGAAAAGTTGTTTGACTTTATTCTCAGAATGCAAAATCTTCCGGCGTCGTAAATATTTCATTGCCACAAGTTAGTGATTGTTATAACTTCAACCTGTCGTCTTTGAGATCATAACTCTAACACCAAACAAATGTAGTCATAGTGACTCCACCTCAAGCCTCAAGCTCACACACACACAGAGATTTGTTCAAGGGCCACATTCAAATCGTCGGACCACGTGCGGTGAAGAGTCGAGCTGTCTCTTAAAGTTTCTCTCACCCGACACACAGCAGCACACACTGAGGCCTGTGACTGTTCTGATAACCAGGGTGTTACATCGTGTTCAGAGACTGACTCATGACTGGTCGAGCTCATGCCGCAGCTCTATGTCCCGGTTTCACACCGCGATCACGACTGCGCTCTTACCTGAGTTCTCACGTTGTATCCGAATCTCTCTCCTCCTGCAGGACTTTGCCAGCACCATCCCCGGCCACGGCGGCATCATGGATCGCTTCGACTGCCAGTACCTGATGGCCACCTTCACGCACGTCTACATAGCCAGCTTCATCAGGTAAGAAGCACGAGCACCGGTGCTGATGAAACTTTAGAGACGTGGACAACACACGTCCCAGTTTGATGAACGTTGCTGCAGACGTGGGATCTTTTCTGACGCTCTTGTCGATTGTTGTCATACTACTTGTGACTGTTGTGTTGCAGGGGTCCGAACCCCAGCAAGGTGCTGCAGCAGCTGCTGATGCTTCAGCCCGAACAGCAGCTCAGCATCTTCCACACTCTGCACTCCCAGCTCAGAGAGAGGGGCATGCTCCCCCCCGCTGCCGCCCAGGCTGAGTGAACGTCCGCCGGCTTCACAGGGTGATGACGGGGGAGTGTGTGTGTGATGTTGTGGATAGTTTGTGTAGGCATGCACACACACACACACACACACACACACACACTCTCGCACGTATGCCTGTATGGTGTGTGTGTGTGAGATCCCAGGCCCCTCCCTGCTTCCGTCGTCATCCGGCCGCCTCTTCTCTTCATTCAACGACAAACCAGCGCGAAATCACAGCTTGTAACCCGAAGCAACTCTCCGCATCACATGGAATAACCTTAAAGTAGAAAAAAAAACACAAGTGGCTTTGTTGCTTTCCACTTGGAGCGGCACATTCAACAGCGAACAGGAAGTCCACAAAGACTCACAGACAGAAGATAAAATGTCTCATCACACAAAAAAACTGACTTTAAAGCACACAGCTTCCCGGCGCAGGTGGACGGTGGACGTGCGGTTTCCCTTGCGGACGGCAGATATTGCACTGACTTTAGCAGAACAAACAGATTTAAGGAGCTTTTACCAGCGTGAACTGGGCCCAGAGTGTCGGACACGTGGACCCGAGCTGCAGCCGACGGGCCGTCGACACTCGTCTCTCTGGGGTTTGGGTGAAGTCGTGATGCAGAAGGGTCGTTAAACACACTGTAAACACTGCTTCCATGGTGTTTGCTCCATTTAATGATCTCAACCTCATGTAGCATGTTCCTGAGCCCCGTGTCAGGCTTCTGCTTGAATAAGCCATGTTTGTTGTTTTTCCTCCACAGAGTGAACCGTCAGCTTTTAGGTTTCTGTCCGAATCTAAGTAAGTCGCACAAAAAGTCAACGGTGTTTGACTGTAGGCATGTTAACGCAGAAACTAGAGCATCGGCCTCACACTCATGTATTGTACATATATATACATTTTGAAAATATTTAGCTAAACAAATACTTAATATATAACTACGTATGTGACCTGCTGGGGTAAAAAGATCACTTTTAAATTAAGAGAAATAATAATAGCATGAACAAATTAGATTTTTAAAAGGTAGGGACGTAGAGTTGATCTGAGGTTGCTGCTTATTTAGAGGGTGTGAACTTTAACTAGAGAATGTAAAAAATGATTTAAAGGAATAGTTCTAACATTCGTCACACATCTGTTTTTCTTTCTGAGAATTAGATGAGATGATAGATTTCAGATTTCCTCCTCCTCCTCCTTCTCCTCCTCCTTCTTCTCTTTATCTATCAATCAATTCGATTTTATACAGCCCATATTCACAAATCACAATCTTTCAACACATGATTACATATTATTATTTACAAAGTTATATATAAATTCGAATAAATTGTATTTTCAGGGATGTAAATCAGCGACTTGACCTGATTTCAAAGTAAAAAAAATTAGACCTTCGCCCCGCCCCCATAACTTCTGTTAGATTTATTAACAAAGTAATTTGCAAACAGTTCATCGGAGCCAGCGTCGCATTAGATGCTTTGTTTTATTTTAACTTGGTGGAAAATACCTGAAGTGCAGAGCTACGTCTGTCAGGAAACCTCCCCCGACGTGAGACGGATCAGCTCTGACTCTCAGGAGGAAACTGAGACGTGTGTTTCAGGAAATGTTGAACTATTCCTTAATTGAAGACTCGTGCTTCCTGCTTTATTGATTTAACCAATGAGTTAAGTTGCACTGTAGCAGTGGACGTGGTGATGGTGGGTGGAGATTGACTCTGAACGCTCCCACATCCTCACTCTTCACTCTTTTACTCTACTTATGCTTTAAATCACTGTCGTACGGATTCAGTTCTGAATGTAGATGGAAGATGTTATCGATGATAACCAATGTGCTGTATGACATGTGCGTGTATACAGTATGTGCAGTACTGTACTAACACATATCTGAAGTATATTGACGGTGGTGGTTTGATTAGCAATATTTTCATCTTATGCAAAATTTAGATTGGAGGATCTAACAGGGGATCTGCATTGTTTCTCATTTGGACGATGAGTTCCAGAGCTCTTCAGAGATGATGTCAACCAAAGCCCTGTGTGATTAACACTGATTTCCCTCGATTACTGAAAAAGGCTCCGGGGTCCAGGTCCTCGTCTCCGTGCTGTTCCGACATCTTCTCCTCAGCGAGGACGGTTAGGGAGAGAGAGTCTGGAGCCGGAGCACTAACAGTTTCGACTGAGGCCTGTGCAATGTGTTTATTTAGTTCTGTTCAATTCCTGCACATGTTGGAGGAACAGGATGTTTTCATTAGTTTGTCCAGTTTGTCCTTTTCCCTCATTTGAGGTGAATGAGGTTTCGGGTGGATTTTTTTGGGACCAGCTGTGTCGCACTATACAAAGATAAAACGAAACCTCGTCAAAACACACACTACTGCTTGACTGGCTTTTCTGTTAGAAACCCTCACTGTCTGATGTAACACACTGAACAAGATGAAGCGAAACACGAAGATGACTTACGCTGAAATCTGACCAAACAAGAAATATCCACTCAAACTGAAAACAGTGAAATGATTTGGACGTTTTGAAACTGTTGTCTGGAGTCTGGAGCGTGTCAGCAGACACATTATAATATGTTAATTATACATCAGTCAATCCAAGCATCAAAAATGTGCTTTAAAAAATATTAAAGATGCTTTTCAAATAGAATAGAAAGAGAAACTACCCACCGTTCCATTCAATGGTTAGATTTCTTTTTCTTTTTTGCCTTTGGTCTGTTAAATATCCTGTTTGTTTCTTTGGTCCCTATTTAAATATTGTTTGATTAAGTCATTTATTTCTTTGACAAACGTCAAAAAAAGTTCCTTAAAAGTTCCAGGATGATGGAAAATTCTCCAAACCCAAAGATATTTAAATTAATTTAATGATGTTTAACAGGTAAAAACACAAATTGTTTTAAAATTAATCAATTAGCTAATTAAGAAACAATGAAATTGAGCTATCGTCAACTTTACCAAAACAAATACAAGTGAAATTAACTTTCAACTAGAAGCATCAATGAATTATTATAATTAAGAATATTACATTGACACACTCGAGACGCCAGTTTTACAGATGAAGTTAAAATTAGATTCAAGTATGAACTAATTTATATTTTTATTTTAGGTGTATGAAACACAGCGATAGAGGTAGGAAAGAGAAAAGAAGTTTTAGAATCTGAAAAGTCAGGTAATGCACTGCTGATGTTTGGTCGCTCGTCTTTTTAATTGATCCTTGTTGTGAATATTGTTGATTTGATTTGGGGAGAAATTTTTTCTAATGAAAATCTATAGCTTTTTGGAGTGGATAATATTTAAAGGTTATACTGAGGAAGTATGCTGTTAATATAGGGGCAATATGAAGTTATGTATAAACCATGTATTGATATCCTGTTAGGGATATTGAAGCTGTTTACTGTATGGAGGTGAATAAAGATTCTTTTCTTTAAAATGTCTTCAAACCTGTTCATCTTGTTTCCCTGGTTTTGTTTGAAGGACGAGACAAAAGGATTCAATTTCAGGTTAAAGTGAACAATTTCAGATTTATTCACAAAACAAAGACGCGTGAAAAGACGGATTCCGAGTTTGGACTAGTGAAGCAATAACTAACTAACTAACTAATAAATAGACATCGACGCTTTGACAATAGAAATCTGTCTCAATCAACACTGAACAACGTCGGAGGAGTGACAAGAGAAAACTAGAATTACAGCAGTGTGGTTGTATTCCTTCGCCAACCAGTTCAGTTTCTGTGTCTATATTTCTACAAACATGTAAAGGTCACTGTGACCTTGTCCTTTGTCAACTGAAACACAGTAACGTGGTCAGTGTGGACGGACAACCTGAAGCATAACGCTTTCGGCTGAGACAAGATTACAATATTCACATGCAGCCGTTGACATGAGGTGAAAAGGTAAAAAAAAAAAACAATTTGATGAATGACAACAAAATAAATGATTCCTTGATCAAATAGTTAATTCGTGGTGGACGTGTCAAACTAAACCAAAGACGACTTAAAACAAGACAAACACCAAAAATATCAAATATCAACAAGCTTTTCATTCAAAAACAAAACAAAGAGATGACAAGAGAAAGATCATTATAAAAAATAAAAGTAAAGATGAGAGTGCTATCGTTAGGACTTCGTTAAAATATGGCTTTAAATACATTATGTTCGATATGTTCGTTAATTTATCAAACTGACAAAGGTTTGGGTCCATTATCGTCACAATAAAGGGACAATGACGACTTCTTAATGAATCCGTGCAAGAAACTTAAAAACAAACCAGAGTTTAAACGAGACACAAAACAAAACAAACACCAAACATACGTCAATTGTCAGATTAAATGCTAATCCAACGTTTTCTTGTTGTCGCTCTTCCGAACTCTGTTGTTGCTAAGGTTACGAACTCTCCTCCGTCACGTGACAGATTTCCGTTAAAGTGCAATTTCAGAGTTGAGCCAATATAAAACACATCAGTACATTATAGCACATGACATCATCACAGCAGCAGCTCAGGACACACACAACAGTGACACCTTCTGGTTAAACCTGTCCACACAAGCAGAAACAGACTTAAATCACTTTAGGTTGACGTTTAAATCAAAGAGTCTTCAAGAACTGAACGTCTGAAACTACAATCAACAAGCAGCCCTGCGTGATAACGATCCCACGCTTCTGCTGTTGAATCCACAGTTTTCTCATTTCAGTACATTTCTTATTAAAGGATAAAAGTGGAGGGAATATGACGGTGTCATTGAAAAGTTGAGATCACATTCCTGCTGCTATGACACACAAACATCTTAATACTTTGAGATTAGTGCAATTTGAAATGGCGATACACGTTCAGCGTGACGTTTAAAGTGCCCGACGCTCCCGACTTAAACCCAAATCCTAACCCAATCTAGTATTTGAGCAAAAATCTGGAAAACCAACTTCCCTTTGTCGGCGCCCTTGAGCAAAGTAATTAGAAATTCTGTTCTGCCAATCAGCGCTCGTGTTTGAATCTCTGCAGCTCAACGTGTCGGAACTGATTTTAAAGCGTAAGCAGTTCGATCGGCACAGAAACTGAACCGTAATTATAAAAACCTGTTTTTTTTCCCGCTCTGTTGAATTTGTGTGTTGAATAATTAAAAAAAGGCTGTGGGTGCTTTAAGATGACGGCGTTGGCATATCTCCAGTAAAAGGACTAAATGAGTGGAGAGGCTTCGGCTGTCAGTATCCTTCACTACTCTGCTCCACCACCAGGTTCCTTCACCTCTACAGGCTCCATGTTTCACCTTCAACACGTGGTCACATCTTATCGATCGCCTCTCAAGATTTGAACCACTTTAAATGCTAAAAAGAGAAAAAATCCACTTCCCACTTTGTTCCTGATTCAAACCCCGACAGGCTCCTGATGAGAGGTCGTAACTAACTTTCAGAAACCAACTATTTCGCTTTGAGCTAAGTTATGTAATTAAAGCGTTGAATGGCACTCTGGTCTCGTCATCTTCCTCCTCTACAATCGTCCTCAGGTCGGACCTATACGGACAGAAAATCTGCCGCAGCAGCGCTAGCAGGACACGCACCAACAGCCTCAACGCCAGAAAGGCAAAAGGCACCGTGATCTCCATCAGGTGGAAAATTGAAGCGCTAAATTTACTAAGAATACATGTGAGGAAAAATGTCCCTAATGCTATGCAGGGGTACAGAGCAAGCTTGGCTAGCATGAACACATGCTCCCGTCCGCCATACCGCACATACGGGTGCAGAGTTTCCTGCTCATTGTAAAGAGCGACCACCCAAATGGTGAGCTGAAATATACCTGCGAAGAAAATAATCACACAGCTAATCTGAATGGCTTCTAGTTCGTTCCGGGAGTTCGGCGAGAATTCGTGCGTTAGCTGGTAGGCTAACGGTAAACCTCCGACAAATGCTAACGAGAAGGTGTTCAGCAGGCCCATGAAGCGCGTTGTCTTGGTGACGTGGAGGAAGAGCGAGTGGTGGACGAACCAGAGGAGGCCGACGGTGGCAAAGGAACCGAAGTAGGCGAGGTACTCTGGACCGTAGACCTGCAGAGCTGCTACCAGGCTGCCGCCAAACTGGTCCCTTACAACGGCCGGGTCTGGAACGTTGTCCTCGCTGAAAGGAAGGAACCAGAAAGGTATTAAGTTTGTCAACACAGTGCAATTCACTTTTCTGTTTATCGCTCCTAAAGGTTCAGTTTGTAGGATATAGTGGCATCTGCTGGTTGAGTTGCATATTGCAGCTTGTTCACTTGTAATTGTTCACTAATGAAAACACAACGATTCTTAGCTTCAGGTCGTTTTAGCTGACTAATAGTAATTTGTCTTTCCCATTCAGAGTAGTGAGGAGAATCAAACCATATGTCCAAGATGAGCAGCGTTGCTACGATGGCGTAAACCCCGTCACTGAAAGCCTCCACTCGTTCTTTACTGAGCGGTTCATCAGGCAGGAAGGTGTAGAACAACATGGAGTCTGGAGACTCGTCCACGTGACCTGGAACGGACGAGAGACTGGTTAGAATTTCAACGTCATGACCAGAGTCAATCACATGCACTGTACGTTTCTGACAACAGAACGCTCACACGTGCACGTTGGAGGTTTCAACGGAAATGGCACGTACGACCTCCATCAAGCGCTAGAGCAACGCGTACATGCGAGTGCTTAGTGATACGCAGGTTAACCCTCTACAAAAAAAGACGACTGACTCCTTTCCCATTGGCAGAGAGGAGTATTTTTCCCCCGGTGCGTCATAGTCAACGTCACAAAGGCTCTGAATACTGCGGCGCTGTCGTCTCGCTGTTCTACCAGATTAGCACCTTCGCCCAGGTGTCATGTTCCCATCGCTCCCGACCGGGTCGGAACAGAAGCCAATAAAAAACTGTGTCTAGAGCGGAGATGATCCACTCACAGTGCAGACGGAAGCCTGAAGCCTCGTACTTACCGATTGCTTTGCTGCGGCACCACTTCAGACACTGGGAGATGTACGGCAGGAAGATAACTATGGCTAACAGCACGTAGGACTGAAAAACAAGGACAGTGACCGTAATGTTGATCAAACGTCACAATAACGAGACGATGAACGATACTACTGGAAAAACAAAATGTCACCAACCAGCTGGAAGAAGATGACGGAGAAGATGCTGGCGAAGAGGCACATGAGGGGAACTCTCATGATGACTTTGAGGATGTGGTGTTTATAGAACGTCTGGTTCTCTGAGATCTGAATCTGTTCGTTCAGGAGGAACGGGCGACTGAATGCGTACAACACGATCACCGACTGCAGAAACGAGAGGCACAGGAAGTCGTGACGTGATCACGGTGAGCGAAAATAAAGAAACAGGACAAAACCACGAGCAATGCTTTGTTTTCAGCTTCACCTGAATGACACCGGTCACCATCACACAACCACAGAACAGGAGAATCCCGAGGATCTTCTCGGGGAAAGTCGCCATTAAAGAAAACTGCAAAGAAAAGTGAAGAGAACGAGGAGCTTGACTGGATGAATTTATCTGATCTAACTTCCACTGAGCGGCTGCACTGACTCGTACTCACTGTGTACGGTAGGAAGGTTATCAGCATCATGCAGGCCTGAAATAAAACCCAAGCAGAGGAGAGACGGACACGTGGTCAGAGAAAGAACAAGTTTCAATCATCGTAAAGTCCTGAAAACAAGATTCTGAGGATTTTATCCCACCAACATAAACACATGATCTAATATTCATAAGATAAAAACTTGAATTCATATGACAAAGTTGTTTATTGAATATTTGAAGACCCGATAAAATGAAAAATACAATTCAGTATTTTGTTTATTAAAGTTTGTATTAAATTGTGTTATTTAAATGTCACAAAACAATATCATAGTATTTTGTCCCGACCTGTAAAGTCAACAGTTTGATGACTCATACTTCCCATTCTTCTCTAATTAAGCGTTTTCATAACTTTTACAATTCTCCTCCGTTTTGCGGAGTTTTAAAAAACGTTTTAATAATTAAATTAGCAAAAACCAATCAAAACTGAAAAACTGGTTTAAGGTCCAGTTTTATTTGATGCAGCTAAATCATTTAAAACTTGAGTCATCGGTCACATGAACATCTTGTTTGTTTATATTTCGTACTAATGTTGATTGTCAATATAAATAAAATAAACTTGTATTAACATGAAGTTCCTGAACACTCACGAGGTTCAACAAGGCGAGGCAGTCATCGATGCGCACAATCACTTGAAACAACCTGTGAAATGGAAAAACAAACAAGTGATCAATTATTAAATAGACGATCAATAATTAATAAGAGACTGAAAGCAGCTGCTGTGATGACAACACTACCACCTCACCTGATGTGAGCCGCCCACGCAACAGTCACGATCAGGAAGGTCATTAAGTAAACAGCGATCTTAGTCGTGAGCAGAAGCTGAACGCTTTGTCTCAACTCCTGCAACAGACGGATTTATAACGTGTTCACACCGAACGTGATCTGAAACACTAACGATAATAATAATAATAATTATAATAATAATAATGATTCCAACATGGTAACAGTGAAGAACATCTGTGGTCACTTCCAGACTCCAGGTTTCTAAATAGGAAAATTCTTCTTCTATGCTATAAAACACGAGTCACTGGAGTCAGACAGTACCTCGTCATCCTCCACCTTCGTGTGGGCCACAGGTAAAATCTGAAACAAAGACATTGGAAGAAAAAAATCTAATCAACGTGAGGTTTTTTCTGTCTGATGATGAAATCTGATTTTCATTTGAATCCCAGTAACTGATGAGGAGGAGGAGGAGGAGAGGGAGGAGGGGGAGGAGTCTCTAATCAAATAACAAATCAAACAAATTTATTCTGAAATTTATTTGAGCTGAACTTTGTTGTTTAATGTGGTTTATGTCCCATCCACTAACACAGAGGAGGGCGGGTTTATCTTATATCTTGTGATGAAACTTATACAGTGAGGTGGATGCTGCTGTGCTCCTCCTCTTCAGTCTTATCTTAAGTTTATCTCCTCTTCAGTCTCCCCATCTTATCTTCTATCTCATCTCATCTTCAGTTCATCTTATCTTCTATCTTATCTTCTATCTTATATTCAGTTCATCTTATCTTCAGTTCATCTTATCTTAAGTTCATCTTATCTTCTATCTCATCTTCTATCTCATCTTCAGTTCATCTTATCTTCTATCTTATCTTAGGTTCATCTTATCTTCTATCTTATCTTCTATCTCATCTTATCTTCAGTTCATCTCATCTTATCTTCTCTCTTATCTTCTATCTTATCTTCTATCTGATCTTCAGTTCATCTCATCTTCTATCTCCTCCTCTGTAGGGAGGTGGTGCTGTGCTCCTTGTCTCACCATGACAGTGGCGATGATGGAGATGAGAGCATCGCTGTAGGCCAGCAGTCTGTGGGAGGACTGGGTGCTGCTCGGTTCGTCCCGCTCGGACGGACTGACGCTGCCCAGGAACGAGGAGGAGGAGGCGGCGTGGCTCCTCGTCTCCTTCCGCTCCACCGGCTCCTCGACCTGCTGCTCGATGATGTCTTCGTGTCCCTCCATGGTGGAGGAGCTCGGAGGAGCTGAGAGGAGCAGAGAGGAGCAGAGAGGAGCTCGGACAGAATCCACGCAGCTCGTGTTTGTTTGCAAACAGCCGAGATCAGCTGAGAGAGGGCGTGGAAACCGGAAGCAGCTCCACTTCCTGTTCCCTAGAAAAGATCGTCTCCTGAGTGTGAGTAACCACTCTGATTCTTTTTAGTAGAGAGGTTATAAATAAATGATGATTTAAAAATAATACATGTTTGGAACAGTTCAATTATTTTGTGTTTTATCATTAATGTATTATTTTCTATACTTTAAAAAAAAAGTTTTTGTTAAGTTTCTATTTATTTTAATTGGGACTGTGCTCATTCATCAGAAGACATTTTACTGTAAATAATAAAATATAAGTTAAAATAAGCTGTGGGTATTAAAGGATGTTAACTTTTATTTAACCTTTGTTTCCAGAACAACTGGTAATTCACAGCGGTTCCAGGGAAAATAATAATAAATCTGTGCACAGTGAGTTTTAAAAATGTAAAGTAGAATAAACGCAGTTTGGGAAAGAAGCCTAGAATAACAGAGAAGTTTGAAAACATAGAAACGTGCAGAAAATTAAAAACCCTGAACCAAGAAGTTTGATGAGTCATTGTAGAATCATGAGTGAGTCACGTGTCTCATTTCCATTTTTATTTTTGTAGTTCATTAGAAGATCCAGAGGGAGCGAAGTGTAAAAAACTATAAGTCACGATACAGAAAGAAAGAAAGAAAGAAAGATGAATACATGCAAGAATGAGAGACAATAAAAAAAGAAATAATATTCCAAACTGCAGCATTACCTTCATATTACCACCAGGGGGCAGCAGTGGTGTGAACAGGAGTCTCCACATGAACACATGAACACAACTCTATATTAAATGTGACACAGTGTTTACAGCTAAAAACCACCACATCTGTATTTTCCTACAGGACGACACACATTCTTTATTTTACATTTTATTTTTGTTTCCTTATGTTGTAGATTTCGTGACATCTCAAGTTTAAAGTGAATTCATCGTTGGCTTCAGACGGTTCAGGGTTTAATTCAAGAGAAAACTCTCCATCTCTGTCACATTCAGTGCGTTGGAACAGCAGCACGAGCTACAATTAATGACAGTTTAACTGCGTCTAATCACAGTTATGAGAAACTTTCATATGCAGCAGGATTTAAGATCAGGTGAAGTGAACATGTCCTGTTCAAAAGGCTAAAAACATGTTTTGTGAGGCCACGTGACTTTGACCTTTGACACAGATTTGTTCACCTTTGAGTGCTACTGAACATTCAAGAAGTTCCTGAAGGTATTCTTGAGGTGTCGTATAAAGTGATGTGTTAGTATTATTATTATTATTATTATTGAAGAGCGGCGTAACACAGACGATTACATAACGTTGCAGACTGTGGCTTAACTCCTTCCACCAGACAGCAGATTTAAGTCAATCTCATTTCCCCAACATGTGGTGGCGCCACACATCTGGGGCGGCTGAAAAATAAAACCAAACAACATCTGTAACATCACAATATTTTGTGTCCCTGCTCAAATGAGAAACCAGAAATCTGGACCTCACAAAAAGGAGCACTTCTCTCTTCTCCCGTCCGTCACCGCGACGTGTTGAATGATGGGATTATTGTTGCTGAGAGCCGGCTGCTGCGTAACACCGGAGGTAAACACGCAGCCTCTCGTCTCAGCCTAAAGCTCCTTCTACATATTATCGGAACAAACTGCTGCAGAATCACAGCGTGGTTTATTCTGAGGGATGAAACCGTGCTGATGTTTTCCCCTCACGTCGTGCAGGTGTCTCGTGCATTGATCGTCTCACAGCTGAAGTTGAACAGCTCCTGAGCTGTTTCAAACCTGCCTGTTTGTAATGTTGTGTTCTCAAACTCTTCTACAGTGTATTGTCAGTTTTTATTGTTTGTGTGCTTTTTATAAACAGTCAGTAGTGCCGTCCGTGATGTTTCTTCGCTTTTGACGGCATCACATATTTAATTTAACATCATCTGATGCATGTATGTACTTTAGTTCGGTTCATGTCCCATCTGCTGACATGGAGGAGGCGGGGGTTTATGACCTTTGCCGCAGCCGGCCACCAGAGGGCGATCAAAATGATTTGGCTTCACTTTTGAAGAGCAACAATGTGGAAAAACACCTTGTTGTACTTTTTGTTTCACCGATCCAGCAGATCTTTACCAAATCTAAATGGTTTCTCCTCTGACACGTATCACGTCATTCCACCAAGTTCCCTTGTGATCCCTCAGTTAGATTTTTGTGTTATGCTGCCAGCAAACAAACAAACACTTCTACCTCAGGAACATTAGCAGGAGGGATCTCCAGCCCACTGGCCCTTCGCTGGGTTCTGACACCACATCACAATCTATTTCCCAGGAGAGACGTCCAGGTGGAGGCCCATCTGTCGAGGACTCGTCTCCGTGACAGCATATCAGTCATTTCTGCTCGTTTCCCGTCCTCCTGACCCCTCTCCCTCCCTTTTCCTCTCCTCCTCGTGCCATCTCTGATACCTCAGTTTTCACATCCCATTAAAGAGACATTACTTAGTCTGGGATATTGTTGTTGTCAGACTGTGAACCAGCCCCACCCCCCCTAACCCAGGCCGTCCCTTCCCCAGGTATGAGCCCTGATACCTTAATCAGTTCTGGCAGGAGAAGTGGCTGCCGTCTCAACCCCTGCTGTCTGGATCTGCAGCTCGTCACCCTGACTTAATAAACTCTGTCAGATGTAACATGCGAGCTGACGATGGCACCGTCCCTCGAAGACCCCGCTGCGACCACAGCTCATCACGTGCTGCACTGAAGGACGGGTTATGGGAAGTATCTTTTGACAGCATCAGAGACGTTAGAGCGAGCGAGGACGCGTCGTTGATCTTTATTTACAGTCAAATAGAGTTTACGAATAGATTCAATCTTGTATTTGCAGTAGATCCAACAGATTTCTTGTTGTAGCTCTTTTGTAAATAAGGTTGAAGCTTTTTAATTTGAAAACCTTCTAACTGTAAAACCATGAGATTCAAATGATCATTTCATTCACGTCTCTGATTCAACATCTCAATCTGAAATAACAAGATAAATAATCTGCACATGTTTGAAACCTTTTATTTATATTTTTAACAACATGTACCTTTATAGTACATTTTTAAAACAGCCCGATATTGTATATAGAGTATTTCTCTTTTCATCTTATTCTTATTATTCAATCTTCTTTTCCCCTCGTGCTCCTGTTTCACTCAGAATCAATGAAGGAAAACATCTCGTCTCTTGTTTCTCTTGTTCTGCTTCGGATTTTCTCCCTGAATCTGTTGTGAATGTTGAACAAATCACTGTCAAAATAAAAACACATTTTACTCTCATGAGCAAAGAGTGTGTGGATATATAACATTAATGTATCGCCATCTTCTAAACACTGTGTTGTATATTACCCATGATCCTCGGCTTCCTGAGCCAGGAGAGTTGCGGCTGTAACAAATCCATTAAACTCTGTTCAGAATTCTTCATATTTTAAAAGTTTCCTGCTCAATATTGGCGACAAACTCTGGTTTTTAAATAACGTCAGTGTCTTTTTACCTGATCTACAGTCGACTGTATGCATTGACGTGTGGATTGACAGCTCGGACCGTCCAATGGGTGTGGGTGGGCGTGCAGTGTCCTCCAGCTCTCAGTCAGGCTCCACCCCCTGCTGCTCCAAATATGGATGACTGTGGTTTCAAAAAACAAAAATGGCGCTGGCTCACAAACCGAACAGGTGGCGTCACGGTGGGTTGATACTCGGGGGTGGTCTTCAGATTCCTCCTCTGTGACCTGACCTTGGATAAGAGGTGAAAAGTGGATGGATGAGAATTAAAATGACGTTTAGAAAAAACGACCTCGGTGCCTTTAAACCCCAGAGTCATTCAACGACAGCTACTGGACGTAAACACAACTTTATCCACCTGAATGTAGGAGGTCGCTCGTCCTGCAGACGTCTGGAGAGAGAGAGAGCGAGCTGCTGCAGCTGTCCAACCTTTATTTACAATCTGCTGAGTGTGCAGTTCGTGCAGCACATATTATTGATGGGTCTATTTGCCGAGTGGCGGAGGATTGGCGGCGGAGGTCAATTCCATTACACCTGGCTTGTGTAGTGTCAACACGCCTCAGCCGGCGGCTCTCAGAGAGATTGTGCGGAGTGGAGATGAGAAAGTCTCGTTCTTTTGATCCAAACTTGTGGGTCGGCAGCGAGATGGAGCTCATCGCTCGGACCTGACGGCAGCTTCATGGACCAACAGGCTCACGTGTGACCTGAGCGTCTCAAGCTTCTTCTTTGTCATCAACGCAATTCTTCAGTAACTCACGCAGCTGTTCAGTCACAGCTGGAGACACAGTCGTCTGATGTTCTGATATGTTTTCAACACACGACTTAAAGCTCAGATCTGAATCTCTGACTTTTTTTCTGCCAGTTTACATTTTATTTTTTAAATTCACCGAATTATAAATAAACAAAAACACAAATACACAATACCAACGAGCAGAATATGTATTTTTTTCGTATAATTTATTTGACAGATATCTGTAAATAAAGACGGACGACACAACAAGCCCCCAAACATGAAGCCAAATCGTCTTGATTGCCACCTAGTGGTTGGCTGCAGCATAGGTGATTAATCTTGCCTCCTCCATGTTAATGACCAAAATAAAGACAAAGAACAAATGAAATAAAATGTTCTGTTTGTCTGGATGTTCGTGCTCATGGAAATCTTTAATTAAACACCTGTATCAGAACACGTTGTTCATAAGCAGCAGAAACACGTACAGTCAATACAAACTGCTTTGAGCAAAATCAAATCCTCCGACCAGAGAAACCAAAATGTCAGATTGAATAATGAAGTGATATTAGTCTGTTTTTCTGAAAAAGCAGGTTTCAGTAGAGTTACATTCAATTAATTGACTGGAAATAGTTTTTTCTTTAAAGGTGGCTCACAGTTAAATTGAGTAAATCTGATCAGATTGTTCGTATCTGAAAATATCTGCAGCAGAAATCCTCTCAGGATTAATTTAACGGTTCCATTTGATAAGATCTCGTCTTTTTCTCCTTCCTGCGGCATCAAAGCAGAAAACTTGGACGTCAGCTCCCACATCTGG